GTGCATTGTGTGGTCTTAGCGCTTCTCCACGCCTAACGCTCTGCCCCCCTCTCTCCTTCCCAGTGCCACGTGCATTGTGTGGTCTTAGCGCTTCTCCACGCCTAACGCTCTGCCCCTCTCTCTCCTTCCCAGTGCCACGTGCATTGTGTGGTCTTAGCGCTTCTCCACCCCTAACGCTCTGCCCCCCTTCCTTCCCAGTGCCACGTGCATTGTGTGGTCTTAGCGCTTCTCCACGCCTAACGCTCTGCCCCCCTCTCTCCTTCCCAGTGCCACGTGCATTGTGTGGTCTTAGCGCTTCTCCACCCCTAACGCTCTGCCCCCCTCCCTCCTTCCCAGTGCCACGTGCATTGTGTGGTCTTAGCGCTTCTCCACGCCTAACGCTCTGCCCCCCTCTCTCCTTCCCAGTGCCACGTGCATTGTGTGGTCTTAGCGCTTCTCCACGCCTAACGCTCTGCCCCCCTCCCTCCTTCCCAGGGCCATGTGCATTGTATGGTCTTAGCGCTTCTCCATGTCTAACGCTCTGCCCCCCTCCTTCCTTCCCAGGGCCATGTGCATTGTGTGGTCTTAGCGCTTCTCCACGCCTAACGCTCTGCCCCCCTCTCTCCTTCCCAGGGCCTAATTTTGTTTTCAACCTCTACCACATCCGGTGAGTATCTGCTACTCGGTGGGCACGGGCTGCGCTCCTGGGGGGAGGGCGCTTCAGCAGTTGTGCCCTGTGGTACCAGCGAGCCAGGCAGAGGACAGCTCACCCTGCCAGGTGGCACTGTGCAGCATTGGTGGGGGGTGGGGTGCCAGGCAGTTGTGTGTCCCTCTGTGCTTCCAGCGCTCCCTGCAGGGAGATGTCAGCTAGTCTCTTGCTCCAGCTCTTGCCTTTGCCTGGAGTGTCCCAGCAGTGGGAATGGAAGGGAAATGCCAGGCCCATTACTCAGCTACACCGCCCTCGCGCTCCGCCTAAGTGCTGTGTGCTGACCAGGGGCTACAGTGCCAGGCCGACAGCCTACTGGAGCCAAGCCCAGCCCCAAGTCAGTCCCAGGCCCTCGCTCTAGACGTGTGGAGGGGGCGGTGTTTCTCTGGGTTCGGGTCGAGATGGAGCCGAGGGCTGGGCTGCCGGGGTCTGGGGCATTTCTGCACGTAATGTGGGTGGCTCCAGCCATGATGGGCGTCCCAGTCCCCATCCGCCCAGCG